GTCTCAGCTACTCAGGAGGCTGAGGCAAGAGAATCACTTAAGCCCAAAAGTTTAAAGTTGCTGTGAGCTGTGACACCACAGCACTCTACCAAGGGTTACATAGTGAGACTCTGTCTCCAAAAAAAAAAAAAAAAAAGACAAATATACAATGTTCTCTACACTTTGGCCCTCTCACTCCAGTCTCAATTTTTATATAATCAGTGTCCAGGTTACAAATGAGATAGGTTCTATAGGTTTTTTCTTAAGCTAAACGTGTATGTAAGTTAGAACAGGTACATTTACCTATTACCCATAGTAGGCCCTGTACAAAAGTGCAAGCTGTATATGAGTCAGATGTTTGTAACTCGGGAATGCCTGTAGATCTGGTCCATTCATACAATACACATATGTTAGAAATTTACACTGTACATTAGACAATGAGCTAAATACCACCAACTATCAATAAACAAGGCCAATAAGGTCTTTGTCAAACAGTTTGTGTGTGTGTTTACATAAATTCTGCATAATAAGGTAGGGTTGGACTAGAGGAATTATGCCAGGCCCAGTCTCCACCACAGAAATATTTAAGGCAGAACTCCATGCAAACACTATACATGAATAGCCCTATCTACATAAATGCCATCATAGTCTACACCAATAGTTCTCAAATGAGAATCCTTGAATAGGTAACAAGAGAGCTGCATAACAAACTTGTTAAAAATAAAAAATTCCAATATCCATTCTCAGCAATTTCAATTCAATAGGTTAACTTTTATAAAGTTCTACCTGGGTGATTCGGACATTGGTTGATGTGGGGGCAATGGGTCACACAGTGCCTAGACATACTACTTAACTGTTCCATATTTCTTCTTTTTCACAAAGCACGGCAAACTACTAGGGTATTCAAAATCGGGAGCACAAAATAAATTGTTTTCAAGTAAACAAAGGCATTTTAAGCCGTTTTGTGTTTTGCTTTGTTTTCCAAAGTGTAAACACTCATTGTTGAGATGCTTTCTCTTTGGGAGAGAAAAAACAAATTGTGAGGCAGTGCTTCTCAAAATGTAGGACATCAACTACTGGCAATATGGCAGATAATTTAATAAAATACCCAAAATGATTTTAGATGGTTAACACAAATCCTTTGAAATGGCATATAGGCACACACCAAATACCACTGAATGACAGAAAAAATGTATTATTTTTTCAATTATCTTTTAATCAAAAATCCTCAATTAGCTATCAGCATGCCTCTTAACACCTCTCTGTCATTGTTTGTCTCACTTTAATAGAGGGAGAGCATGCCTCAGAGCCTTTAGCAAGCAATAGTAGCTTGCAGAAATTTAGTAACATTGTTTTGTTTTCACTATATTTTTAAGACTATCATCCATGTCAATAAAGTATGTGATACACTGATTTTCCATCATTCACAATGATGAGTAAATTAACAAGAAGGTGAACTTAAAATAGCATAAATTATATGCAGATACTACAAAAATTATGGGAATGCTTTGTAAATGAATGAAGTTTGGAAATACTACTATGTGAGGTATTACTACAAATAAGAACTGACTTCTCTCTCCCTCATTTAAGCACACACACAAATATAAATATACACAAACACAGGTCACATAACTAATTAATTCAAATGAACAATCAAAAGCCACAAAACACTTGTAGAAGACATTCAATAAAATGTCTATTGTATGTGCCACTTGAGAATAATTACTACTTTTGTATGATCTTACTTTGATAATCTCTCACTGTACATATAAGAGAAACACTCAGTGTTGTCTGAAAGCCATCATGACAATTATTATTCTGCAATTTATCTGACATACCTTATAATCTTTGGGTCGGCAGCAGCCAAAATGAGAATGATCTGAAAAAAGATGTATAAAAGAATTAAAGTGTAAATATTTCATAGCAAAAAGAAGTTGGTTTCACCTTTAATTTTGGCTACTATCACTGCTTCTACAATTATAATTCATACTGCACATTTTGGAAATACTTCAAAATCCTTCAACAATGTTACATCATCCAAAATGATAAGCTAACTAGTTAAAGTCTGTATTGGGTCTTCAGTAATTAAGTGATTTCACAAATTGTTAATACTATTTTCATTAGAGTAAGAGATATACAAATACAGACAGCAATGATTTTTAGTTAAGCTAAAAATATTTTTAGGTAAACTAATTTATGTACAGAAAATGGATAATTTTTAGTTGATAACCAGTTAATGATAAAATACAATTTGTATGTATAGACTTAGCAAGATATTGTGAATGTATTTTTGGAGTCCATGCTAGAACCAAATGGGTGTGATAAAATAGGACCAGCTTTAGAGGGTGGTAGCATACTGCAGTGTTTTGACTTTGTTGACGAACAGATTTGCATTCCATCCCAAGCTCCAACTGTATGACTTAGGGCACATTACTTAACCTTTCTAAGTCTTAGAATGCTAACATATCTGATGTACCTCTTTTATGACATTGTTTTACAGATATATTACATGAAAGGCACTAAATTAAATGTTAACCTTTATTACTAATACCACTGTCAACAACATTATTATTGTCTGAATTGGACAAGCATGGATGAGTTCAAGCTCAAATTCTGCCAACTATCAGATATATAGTTCTGTTCAAATTATAGAAACATAAGCTTATGTTTCATTCCCCACTTTAAAAGTATAAAGACACTGCCTATCTTACCTCAAAAAAGAGTCACTGTGAATAATATTAAACAATTTGTGAAAGTCCCTGGAATAGTACCTGTCACACAATGTGTTTTTAAACTAACTCTAAATCTCTTCCTTATATAACAACCATTACATTGTATATGTGCACGTTTGGTTTCATTCATTACTTAAGGCACTCAATTTTTAAGAATCAATTTGTAGGTGTCATAATCTCTGTTATATTGATAGTCAAGAAAATCTGAACCATAATTTGCGATTCTACTTCCTCACTCATACATTTCAGTAAAAAACACTCTAAGAATCTGTTTTACCTTCCTAAACCACTTTATCAAAAACAAAAAAAAAGGCTACATAAGAGAGAACCAAAATAGCTGGTGTTCTGTAAATTTTTTAGCATTTTTTATTGTATAAGATATTATTTTCTAAGTGCCCTGAACCTCACCAGAAGTCAGCTGAAATATTAATGTTTTCACACAAGCCATCTTCTCCATTTAAAGTACTTTTCAAAACTTTTTTTAAAAAAATGAATCCCAGGCTAACTCCTCTTTTATATAGTCTAATATACAGCATGGTCCCAAATAGCAGAAGAAATAACTAAATGATAAGGACATACCGAGCCTAATTATCTAAAAATGCTAACTTTGAAAATTAAGGTAATAATTTCTAGAAGTGGTATATATGTTCTGGCAGCTACCATAATATTAAAAGTTTCAGCATATTAAAATACTGACACGTCTTCTGCTGTCCATAATCCATTTATAAATTTATCATACTTCAAACAGGTTTAGAATTTTCTTTCATTTGTATAAATTAAGCTATTACTTCTAGCTGAGATTTATCAATGTTCATATTTAATCACCCTTACCAACAATAGGTATTAACTATATTCTAAATGTCGGAAATAAAAGAGATAAAAGTCATGGCCCATGGCCGAGAAGTACTTACAATCCATTTTGGTTAAGTTATACAAAGTTAAAGAGCAGCAGTATAAAGAATAGGTTAAATGTTAAATGGTAAGACAATACGATAAAAAGTTGTATCAGAGAGCAATCCCTCAAGGTTAAAGGTAATCAAAATAAACTTCCTCAAGGTGAAGAAACTTGAGATGGGCATAATAAAGAGGTCTCACTTAGGAAAAGAATAAAGAAAAAGAAGCTAGTTCTTTCTTGTGTGTGTGACTTTTTTCTTTATTTGAGACAGAGTCTCTCTCTTACCCTGGGTAGAGTGCTCTGGAGTCATCACAGCTCACAGCAACCTCAGTCTCTTGGGCTCAAGAGATCCTCTTTCCTCAACCTGTCAAGTAGCTGAGATTACAGGAGTCTGTCGTGACAGCTGGTTGGTTTTTCTGGTTTTAGTAGAGACGAGGGTTCTCACTCTTGTTCAGTCTGGTCTCAAACTAATAACTCAAACAATCTACCCATCTCAACGTGACAGAGTGCTAGGATTACAGGTGTGAGCCACCGCACCTGGTCTTGTACATGTAATGCTGAACAACTTACTTTACTTCTTTAAACCCTAGAGGATTTTGTTGGCCATAAAATGGGAATTAGTGATAGTCTCTAACTTTATGAAGCTACCATGAATACTTAACCAATGTACTACGAGTAAAGCATTTAGAATAGCAGCTAGTAGAAAACACATATTCATTAAATGTTAGCTATTATTTGATTCTCCATTAACTTCAAGAAATAGGTGTTATATAGGGCCAGGTGCAGTGGCTCATGCCTGTAATCCCAGCACTCTGGGGAGGCCAAGGGGGAAGGATAACCTGAGCTATCAGGTTCAAGACCAGCTTGAGCAAGAGCTGAGGCAAGAGAATTGCCAAGAGTTTGAGGTTGCTGTGAGCTGTGATGCCCTAGCACTCTATTGAAGGCAACAAAGTGAGACTCTGTCTCAAAAAAAAAAAAAAAATAGGTGTTATGAACTAATGTTTGTGTCCCTCCAAAATTCATATATTGAAGCCCTAACTCCCAAAGTGATGATATATAGAGATTGGATCTTTGGGAGATAATTAAAGTTAAGGTGCGATTATGACAAGGAGGCCCTAATAATGGGGTGAATGTGCTTATAAATAAAGATATCAGAGAGTTTATTCTCTTTCTCTATGTCTCTCTCTCCATCCCCTCAGTCACCACCCACCCCTCAGCCTCCACACACAAAAGTCATTTGAACACACAGCAAGATGGTGGCCACCTACAAACCAAGAGAAGAGACCTCAAACAAAAACTACCTTGCCAGCACCTTCATCTTCCTAGTTTCCAGAACTGTGAGAAAATAAAAATGTCTCTTGTTTAAACCACCCAACCTATAGTATTTTATTATGGCAGGCTGAAAGGACTAATATTAACATAATATATAGGATCGATAATTTCTATTTTGCATTCCAGAGATTGACTTCCTATCTAACTGACAAGTGATGGTATTAAGTCTTTTATTAGTTCAGTGCTACTTCTAGTAATATAAAGATAGTATTAATAGATTTCCCTATTATAAAACAAAAGCAGATAGGAGAATAAAACTGTCATTAGTCTCAAAAATGACATCAGATTGTGGATTTGCTAACTAAATGAATGTGACATATAATAATAAAATGCCAAGCAGTGATTAACAGTTCTGGTTAAAAAATATATATATAGTAGTCATAAAAACACTTCCTTAGCCACCATTACTGAGAAGCTAAGATCCATTTTATCTCTAAAGTCACCACTCACACTCAGATGAGTTGGATAATTCAGAGCCTCTGTACCCTTTCTCTCTGTATAGTTGTCCTTCATTTACTGACTGAGATACAACTCAGTCCCAAGAGACCAATCTTAACTTTAAGCAAGGACTTGAGGAGCTTTAATCTAAAACTCAACTCTCTGAGGGTGGCGCCTGTGGCTCAAAGGAGTAGGGCGCTGGCCCCATATGCTAGAAGTGGCGGTTTCAAACCTAGCCCCAGCCAAAAACCTCAAAAGAATAAAATATAAAAAATAAAACAAAACTCAACTCTCTGTATCAACTCATTGATTCTATTAAAGTAATTCCTAAACTCAGTCCTACCAATTATAGCTAATATGTGTTGCCCCCTATGTGTCAATCCTTATTTTGGCAACCTCCACAGTACTCTACTATGAAGGGTACTACTATCCACTACTTCAGTCCATTCTGGGCTCTGCTATAACAAATATCTGAAACTGGGTAATTTATAAGTGGGAATTTATTTTCTCACAGTTCTGGAGGCTGGGAAGTCCAAGATCAAGGTGCCAGCACCTGGCAAGGGCTTTCTCATAGCACCATCACACGGCAGAAGGTGAAAAGCAAGGAGAGGGCAAGAGAGTCTAGTGAAATCTCTCTTCCTGGCTTACAGATAGCCACTTCCTATTTAAGGCCTCACGTGGCAGTGAGAGAGGGAAAGAGCACGCTCTCTGGTGCCTTTTCCTATAAGAACACTAATGCCATGATGAGGGCCCCATCCTCATGACCTCATCTAAACTTAAACAATTCTGAAAGGTCCCATCGCTAAATACCTATCTTCAGGGATTAGGTAGGCTTCAATACATGAATTTTTAGGGGATACAATTCAATTCGTAATAATGTCCTTGTCAAAACAATTTATACATAGAGAGGGAGGCATAGAGGGGAAAGTTAAAAAGAGAGAGCAGGAAGAAGAAAGCAAATATTACTATTTGTAGGTACTAAATGAAAGGTATATGGGAATTCTTTGCACTACTTCTACTTTTCTGCAAGTCTGAAACTTTGTCAAAATGAGAAGTTAAAAAAAGCAATTGATCTCTCAGATCATACTTCTACCTAGTAGAGATTAAAAGTAGAAACTGTATCAGTTCTGCTGGCAAATATATAATTGTCAAGAGAAATCAGACACTTGAATGCTCAAAAAAAAAAAAAATCTTCCAAAGAAACATCTATGTTGAAGTTTGTTTCCTTTGTCCTGTTCTTAAAGCTCATTTTCCACGTCCATAAGTTTCTTCCGAGAGGGGGAAAAGAGTGTAACATTTGTTTCTAATTTTCTATAATCTACTATTTTGGATATAAGAGACTTATTGATTATCACATCTATTTCCCTGTTAGTGCTAAAAATATATGTATAAAATGAACAAGCACGGTGGCGCCTGTGGCTCAGTGGGTAGGGCGCCAGCCCCATATACTGAAGGTGGAAGGTTCAAACCTGGCTCAGCCAA